TCTAGATGCACTGCCGAGAGGAAAGGCAGTCAGAGCTCAGGGAGCGGCGGCGGGAGCAAAGGAGGGGGACAGGAAAAGTCACAGGAAAAGTCACAGCGTGAGGTGGGCACATGTGTGCTCACGCAGACACATTGCTCTCTCATCACTCCGCTCCCGTTGGGGAGACAGCAGCATCCTCGCCCCAAATACGCGTCTCATCTGTCCAACCAAATCACAAACTCTTCATCCTCAGGGACAGGCGGACTGTTGGTGGGGAAGGTCTGAACGCTGCCAAGTATTCCTCCGTCCCACGGCTCCCCCGTTCCTTCCCCACGGGCAGTGAACACACAGCCTGAGCCAGCGCCTGGGAGAGAGGTGACACCCCCCAAACCAGGGCTGCGAACTGCACACCTGTTAAGCCGAGGAGGAATGTTTCCGATTCAGTGGGAACAGACATCTGCATAACCCGGCGGGAGTCCCGGGTAATTAGGACACCCCTTCTGGGGGAGACCGTGGTTTTGGCGCAGTTCCTTCTGACCGGGTGGGGGGAGGGGGTGACGACTCTCTCCTAGTACATCGGCCGGGAAGGCGAGCTGCAGCCGGAGTCAGCCAACAGCCGCATAAATCTCTTTCTCTACCATCACAAAACTTAAGAGAGAAGCCGTTCAGATTACTATACAGAAACATTAAAATGAGCTCATTAAATGCAAATTAAAACAGAAACACTGAATAAGCGCTGGGCCCCTATTAAAGGCTGAAGAGACAGCAGGTAAGAAACAATTTTCCCTGATCAAAGAGCTAAAAGCTAACGGAATAAAGGATTCTGCATTGAAACTGCTTTCATGAATATGAAGCATTTTGAACTGAGGAGAATTTCCTTTCTTTGTGCACTCTTCAAAGAAGCTTTGGAGGTGGAAATGGACTTGCGTACCTTTGTACAAAGTACTTCCATTGTTTCATTTTCAGGCGATAAAGCTATGAGTTTCCCCCCCAAAAAATGCAGACTTCAAAAAAAAGCCTTTAGAAATAGTTCCAAAATCTAAAAGGTCATAAAGTCATTATTTTAGAGCTTTTGGACTCAAAGAACTGTACATAGTTATGCAAAATCTTCTATGCAAAAATGTAGTAGAACTTCTTTTGTGACACAATTCCACCTCATCATAAAGAGAAGCTTTAGCGCCCAGTGCTGGTGCTTGGGGTCACCCTCAGGGCATTTTTTTCTGATTTTTCACTCATGTATCCCGGCACCTGGAGCCGTACAGGGCACACAGTAGGTGCATAATTGTTGCATCTGCTCTTGTGAAAATAACAAATGCATTGTTAAATGACAAGTGAAAAGTTTTTCCTTCATACGTTCATTTTACACATTGAAATACACAGTTTTTCATCGGTCAGAAGGAAAACATAAAAATATTTCACAGGACGCAGGGGAGGTGGGCAGTCTTACAAACACTGTTGGAGAGGCGGGCCCCCCCCCCGCGGCAGCCGCGCAGCCTGGGCGTTGTCTGCAGGCACTGACCCTGGGTACCGGGGGTACAGAAGAGAGAGGACAGCCAGTAGGTGATCCAGAGGGTGTCTTTCTGCAATCTTTCAGCCCAGAGGGGCAGCTCTGTGGGCCTTGTTGTGATACATAGGAGTGTAAGATAGTGTGCTTAACCTTAGAACAATTCGGAACTATCAATACTTTGCAAAATTCAAAATCGACAAACACCTTGTCTTGTCTAGAAAACCTCCTTATTATTGTTATTGTACATCTACGCTAACATATGCAAATAAAATGATATAGTCACAAACATTCTGATGATAGCACTTGTCTGTAAACTTACTGAAGGCTCATTTATTGAAAAGCATTTGCATAATTTATGTACATCCATAAAATAAAAGATTAGGCAGGGATTACCATGCAATAGATCTGTACATGCAGGTATGTTAGTTTTCTAAAAGATGTTAAGTTAAAAAGATGTTAAGAAGAGACTATATTCTAGTTATTATATAATTTTAAATCAAAAATCTTTTTAAAGAACAAGACATAGAATTTGATTTCCAGCCCTAGCAACAGTGTTGTACATATAGCCATGTGCTTTAATATCTGATACTACTCAAATACCTAAACCTGGTTCATTAGGACATTTAGAGTACAGCACAAATATCACTATTAAAATTCAATTTTAAACACAAAGACTTGCTCATTTAAAAAAAGGCTAAAATATATTTTTAATAGAGATGTCAACCAGCCAAGAGGGAGAAGATATTGGCAAACAATACCTCCAATAAGGAATTCATATTCAAAATACACAAAGAACTCCTACAACTCAAAAACAAAAAATAAACCATCCAGTTAAAAAGCGGGCAGAGGACCTGCACAGACACTTGTTACCAGAAGACATACAAATGGCCAACAGATACACGAAAAGATGCTCAACTTTACTAGCTATTAGGGAAATACAGATCGAAACTGCAGTGAGACACCACCTCACACCTGTCCAAATGGCTGTTCCCAACCAGACAGGCAGCACCAAGAGCGGGAGAGGTTGTGGAGCGAAAGGAACCCTCCTCACCTGCTGCAGGTGGGGACGTGACCTGGCACAGCCACCGCGGAAACAGTGTGGGGGGCCCTCAGAACATTCACGATAGAGTTCCCGCACGACCCAGAATCCCTCTTCTGCGTACCTCCTGGAACACTGTGGAAACATCCATTGGCAAAGACACATGCACCCCTACGTTCATTCTGGCATATTCACGGTGGCCAAGCCGTGGAGACCACCGAGTGCCCTTCGATGGGGGGGCGGGATGAGGAAGACGCGGCAGGTACGTACTGCGCAGTGGAGCGCGGCTCAGCCGTAAGAGAAGGTGAGATGCTGCCATCGTGACAACGCAGAGGGACCTGGAGAATCTCGTGGGAGAATCTCATTTAAAATAAGTCAGTCACTAAAAGCCAAGCACCACGTGATTTCACTCACATGTGGGAGATGAAACTGAAAGCAGCAAACGCACAAACAATACAAACAAAAACTCACAGACACAGGCCACAGTGTGGTGGTTACCAGGGGGAAGGGGGAGTAGGGGGCGCGGAGTAGAGAGTAAAGCGGGTCAAATACATAAAAAGAGGTGCCAACAATTACATTTTCCTAAGCTGAATTTTCTTCCTGTGTTCCTGTTCTGCTCACACTCTCTTAAAGTCCTTCTCCATACGTCTCGCAAAGTCATAGTTTTTCATGGACTTCAATTAACTTGCATTTCTGTAGCTGTCTAGGTCAGGGCGTTTAACACATCAGTCATTACCCAAGTGACAATGTAAGAGATTCTGAAACGGTCTCGGTGCCAGGAGGGAATTCTGGGTTTTGAGAAAGGGAAGATAACTGTCCCTGGCTGGCGTAGCTCAGTGGATTGAGCTCGGGCTGCAAACCAAAGCATCGCAGGTTCGATTCCCAGTCAGGGCACATGCCTGGGTTGCAGGCCACGGCCCCCAGCAACCGCACATTGATGTGTCTCTCTGTCTCTCTCTGTCTCTCTGTCTCTCTCTCTCCCCCTCCCTTCCCTCTCTAAAAAATAAATAAATAAAATCTTTTTAAAAAGTTATCCATACACCAGATTAAGTAGAATTAAAATAACATTTGCACAATCATCTTCAAAATAAGGTATACCTTATCTTTTAAAAGTCTGACAGTATGGATTTTGAAAAATATTTTTCTACTTGTTTTTCTGATGCAGTTCAGATTTGTGTTTACATGTGGTTCTTATGCAATTCTCACTTAAAAACTCAAAAGTTTCAAAAACATTTTATACATTTTTCTCGAGTTGGTAACTGCCCAAAGTCACACACTAGAATCTGAAGAGACGCGGGACCACAGCCTCAGGTTTTACCATCGCTGCGAAGCGGGTCGGTTAACCGCGCGACTCTCCCCGCGCTGGGCCGACGGCTTTACACGTCAACATGCATTTAACACAGGAAAGGCAAGAGCGTACCCCTGCATGCCAACTTCCACTTTTCAAAAGTCCCCCTCTCATCGTTACGGACTGGCTACATCCAACTTCAAAGGCCCTTGATGCGATCCGAAGTGTTTTGTAAACGGCGCTCATCGGGAATAATGCCCAAACAAACTCACCAAACCAACACACATATTCTAGAGCAAGCCTCTGTCGTAACAGACTCCCCAAACTCCCCTGAGAAACCATGTGAGCAGTGGGGCGCAATGTTTTCTAATCACACCATGCATTTCCACTAATTTTCAGAGATAACTCCTAAAATAACTGTGGGCTTAGTGATCCTTGAATACAGGAACTTTGTCGCACAGTGTTTATAAACAATTCTAGTAGCCACTTCCAAAACTATATTCACAATAATGCACCTAGGTCGCTCTGTGTTCAATAACTTTTCATAATGAATACGTGCGGTTCATCCATTATGCAATAAGTTTCAACCCTTGCTATTATTTGCCCTTAATTACTCTCTCACGTCTGACCGCCGACGAGAGATTTAACAGGAAAAATTCCAGGGGACAAGGAGTTTAAATCCACCTGCAGGAATTCCTTAGGATCCCCACCACCATCACCAAGTTCCTTCCACTGGAGCTGAACGCGCCGCTAGAGACTCCCCTAAGGAGCCCCACGGACCGTGGGTATAGACTGCATTGTCTGTCTGGGCTAAGCTGGAAGGCAGCAGCCCAGGGGGCCTTGGCACGGAGCCCCCAGGTCTGCAGGGCGGCGCGCTCGCGGCGGGACCGCGGGGGCGGGGCTCCACCTGGGGGGGGGGCGCACGGGCGCAAGCCAGGTTCCTTCGCCAACCTGTCACTGCGGGCAGCCTGTCAAACCGGGAGTGGGGCGGGCGCTTATAACCACACACACGTTCTCTCCCGCAGCACGACGGGCAGCGGGAGGCGGGAGGCCGGCGGCGGGGTCACGGCCTCGCGGCCACTGACAGTTGACACCCGGGGTGGGGGAGGAGGCACCTTGGAGTCTCCGTCCTCCGAGGACTGGCGTGGCGCCACAGCTGGGCGCAGGGCGGCGCAGAGAGGCTGTACCTGACAGGCACCACGTACCGATCATGGTCACTGGGCAGGTGCAGAGTGCTGGACATGAAGGGGGCCACCGCGATCACGGGCGCCAGCCCGCGCCTCTCACCAGCGGCTAGTCGGGGAGTAAAAGCTACCAAGACTCCTCTCCTCCACACCCGGCTGTCGGAGTACGCACGCGCAGACTGTGAGCAGCCCGCGGCCTTCTGGGAGTCGTAGTTTTAGCGCAAAGTTTCTCTTCACCCCCGCCTGCCGCCCACCGCTCTTCCGGGTTAAGGCCCAGGAAACACGCGTCACCGGGGGTGGGGCCATTCACCCCCAGTGTTGATGCGTCGCTTAGCAACCGAGAAGCTCACCTTTGGAAGCTCGTTGTAGCTCCAGCCGAGATCCCGCCTGCTTCCCGCCCCGCCCCTCCCCTCAAACCTGTCACCTAGGAGCTGCCCAACATCTGGATCAACCTGGGCACGACGAGCGGTTGAATGTCTACCATTAACGCGCCTTTTGACATTTTTCCCCCGACCTCCTCCCATCCGTAAAACCTACTGATTCTTGTACTACACGTGTTACGAGAACAAGACATTTTCTAGGAAGATGGTGGCAGAAAAAAAGACCCTCACCAAATACCCTGAAAAGATGCCAAAGAAGAAGACCAAGCTGCTGGCCCAACAGTCGCTCCCGGCGCACCAGCCTCACACCCTGGTTTCTGAGGGCTTCACAGTCAAAGCCATGATGAAAAACTCAGTCGTAAGTGATTTTCCTGACTTGAGTGCACTCGCTGAGAATCAGTGAACACAAGGTTGCCCAGGAGGGCCAGCCCTAGTATGGAGCCGTGACCTGGGTGGTCTTTGCCAAAAAAGGCTATTACTTGGCCAGTAGCAGATGGTGCCCAACTGTGTGGAGGTCCAGGCTAGGTTGTTAGAGAGGATCTTGAGCAAGTGATACTTTCTGTGCATTTAGAAGCACTTTTCTAATTGCTTATGGTTTCTAGACCACCCAAAATTACTCTTAAGGCTTAAGACTTAAGCTATTCGTGAAGGAAAAACACACCCTTTGTTATTGCTCAACTAGCCCCACTCGGCAGAAGGTCTTACAGCCAGCGAGTTCTTAGGGACCATAAACTCTTTTGCAAATTCGCCATGTGCTCATATACAACTGGGAACATAACTTATAAGAAATCAGTTCAACCTAGGGAATATCAGAATATCCTAGCAATTAGTCTAACAACACTCTTTCCTGTAACAAAATTCTTTCTTATTAAGTGGTATCAGCTTGTTACAATACTGAAAGGCAACTTAATATGTCTGTTTCCAACCACACCTTTTAAATGATAACTTTTTTATAAATCCAAGCTTCAGTTCAAATACCTCTGGCTATTAATACAATTTATATTGCATTTTTATTATTTATGGTAGTTAAAATTGTTTCAATACTGTTGAAGAGAAAGGAACAGATGCTTTAACTACATGCATGATACATTTTTAAAAAAGCCTTTCTGTCTGTTGAACAACTTCAAATTTTGTATGCTAAAGTTGGTTTTGCTAGTGAGTAAGCACCTGCCTGGGAATGAGATGTTAAATAATAAATACAGCTTTCACATTTATGTAATTTACTCTCTGGGAGGATCTTACTTATTGCACAGCAGCTCATTATGTTAAATGAATAATGTTGCTTTCTAGTGTCACATTATTTGTTTCACGTAAATGTTGCAAAACTAACACCAATTCTGAAACCACATTCTCAATGAAAACATTAATGAAACGGATTACCTCTAGACCCCTAGGCTACATTTCCATGCTGGTAACAAATGGCATTCTGATTGTTGGCATGTGCTTTACAATAGTTCAAATGATTGTGAATAGATGAGAACTTCTGCTAGTTGTAACTTCAGTTGCTGTGTGTGTATTGCACGTGAATAGGTAGTCGTGGGAGGCAAGATGACTATTTATCAGCAATACCAAATAACATAACTGTTCAAGCGAATTATTTGTTTTTTCTTATGATTATACTCTTACTGACTTTTCAATGCTATGTTTTCTCACAGATATAAAAAATATTGGTCCGATTATTTTTCTAAACCTATGTTCATAATCATGTCTTTTTTAAAGGCCTTACACTAAAATATAACTCTGGATAATCAAATATTTCAATATTGCCACATATAGTAAGTATCCTTACAAAACTAAAAAAAAAAAAGCCCGGATTACAAAGCAGCTTTCTTTTTTTTAAAGATTTTATTTATTTATTTTAGAGAGGGAAGGGAGGGAGAAAGAGAGAGAGAAACATCAATGTGCGGTTACTAGGGGTCATGGCCTGCAACCCAGGCATGTACCCTGACTGGGAATCAAACCTGCGACACTTCGGTTCTCAGCCCAAGCTCAATCCACTGAGCTATGCCAGCCAGGGCTACAAAGCAGCCATCTTACTGAAACATCGTATTGGAGATAAGTGATCTTGTTTTCATATTTTTAGGGAAAATATTTTTGTGTAATACCTATTTTTCTACCAGGATCTTCAAAATATGATGGGTAATTATGTCACTTTATTTAGAAGAAATAATAATTCATAGATGCAAACATTATTCAGCCATTCATTTAGTCATTCAATCAACACCTTTTTTTTAAAAAGCTTGACTAATAACTTGTGAAACACAGTTCTGGAAATTTAGGATCAGCAAAACAAACTCCCTATACTTAATATTCCAAGGAAAACCACCACCAACAACAACGATAAAATTTTGATAACAGAAAGGTAGACAATACTGTTAATACAAACTAACTTTAGTGATATAAAAAATAAAACCTTTTTTTATTTTCACAACCAGTGATTCACTGTTTCTGTTTGCAACAGTGTAGAACTTTTGGCATTATAAAGTCAAAATACCCCTCTTTTTTGAGGTTTATTTTTATTCAGAAAATAATATACCTATCTCCAGCTTTTCTGCATTACCACCCCTTGTTCTAAAAGCCGACCCCCCCCCCCCCGAACATTTTTCTGGTGTTAGGGCTTGCCTTCCCTTCCCTCTTTCGAACACTCGCTAATAAATCAGTCACCGTTGCAGTGTTCTGCCACAAAAGACAAACAGAACTGTGCCCTAAGGAGTTGTATGTGCCTGTTCTTGTTTCTGTGGGAGTGCTTTAGTATTATAAGCACACAAACTTGATCATAAACAGATTTGTTCAGAGGGGCTGTGCCCACAGAAACTCTACAGTCACAATTTATAGACGAAGATGCCAACGTACTTACAAAGTAATAGTAAATGTGGCTATAAATGCTTTCAATCCCCGTATCAAAGGTTCTTCAATGGTGAGTGGTCCCGTGACGTGCTTGGAACTGTCGCGGCAGTCTGGATGCAAACAAGCAATGACAGAAGCCCCGCCATCAGATGATGATAATATCCGAATCCATATCGTTACAATGTTTGCCGGAGAAGAGTGGTGTGGAATCCAGAATGGGAGGGTTTTGCAGTCCACTCTCCCTTGGGAGGCCTTGCCCGCGGGGTGACACAGCCTGGACCAGAAACCAGCCACTCCCCCGCGCACTGGCTCCAGCTCAGCAGCGGATGCGCCCCCCCCCCCCGCCCGCCCCGCTCTGCTCACCTGCCCTCTGAGGAAGCCAGTTAGGATGTGGGTCAAAGGTCGCGATAGAGAAGTTGACGGCAATGCGAGCTTTATATTGCTGTTTTCCTTTTCCACAGGCTGTAGATGTTTCATGCTCAAAGCTCAGTGGAATGGGGGAAATATGTATTATTAGTTCACTTACATAGAAACTTTCATACTTTCAATCATATTCATTCAATACATAGTGGTGATAGTCAATAGTTATAAATTGTATTTTAAGATACTGATTTGGCCATTGTTACCTGAGACCAAATAAAGATAGCTTCACTAAGGTGGAAGGTGCTTTTCTCGCATACAGAAGCCCAAATCTGTACCCAAATCCGGGGGCGGGGGGGGGGCGGCCCTGCTGCCACACCAGATGGGTGCAGGGACACAGGAATCTTGCTCAGCACCTATAGGATGACACCCTGGGTCAAGGTGGGTTCACCACCGCCAGGGTCAAGTTCCTACCCTCAGGAAGGAGGCAAGAGGAAGCAGAGAACTTCCTTTTAATGGCATGACCCAGACACTGTACCACATTTTCACTCACATCCCACTGTACAGAATTTATTCACAGACCTGTATTTTCTGTTTTTGCAAAAGCCTGTGAAAGACAAATCCTTGCAGCCACTCCTGACCGCCACCTCCACTCCACCAGGCAAAGGCTAACGAAAGGGTATGCAGTCCCAAAAGGGCAGGATCTCCAACACCTATGTCGTGCAGGAGAGAAAAAGGGGGAGGAGCCACCTGCAAGAAGGCAGAAGTGGAGGGCAAGACACCTCCTTAGAGGGGTGTCCCAGGAGGGGCACCCCTCGCCTCTGCTCACGTTCATGCCGAAACTTCCCCTTTTCAGGAGAGGCCGAGAAACACAGCCTCCCTTACTGTTAGCCCCATGTCCGGCTAGAGCCTGAGGCGCTTTATTCCTGTAATAAAGGGGACAAGGGAAACTGGCGGTGATGGCCTGTGTCCTCCGCCAGGACTGAATGTTTCTAGCGGAGAAGACAAGGACAGGAATGACTGTACAAACACACATACATCTACGAACACTCCCTACAGGGGAAGTACGCATGATGACCAAGTGACAACAACCAGGTGTTGGCCCGCCTCACCTTTTGTCTAGGTCTTTACAGTATCACCTGAACTGGTCACTGGACTCCATCCGCCGAATGGCTGGTCGTCTCAATCACCTACCATTGCTGTTAAACGCATCTTTCCAGGACAGTGTTCTCTGATCGCTGCTGAAAGCTTTGGGGGTCCCTTCAGTTCTTACAGGAAAAAACAGGCCTGGTCCCTGCACAGGGCCTGCTGGGACCTAACCCTATGCTATAGTTTTAACTCCATCTCCCTTCATCATTGGCTTTGGCCACATGAAACTGGAGCTCTTCGGAGGGGTGGTTTCGCTCACTCTGCTCCCTTGGCTCAACTGCCCTTCTCCCTGCAGACCTGCCCCATGCTGAAATTCCTCCGTCACTAGGTGACAGACACGTCCTGGTCACTGTGCCACCTGCTGTTTCAGGCGCTGGAATCTGGCCGTCAGGAGCAGGCAGAACGAATGCACGCATGTACGCCTTCACGGAGCGGCTGAAGTGCCAGCCGCTTTCTCTCTCCACCTTGGTCAACCAAGACGGACTCTGGTCTCTGCCCATTGTTTTCTTTCTAATTGATTTTAGAGAGGGTGAGGGAGGGAGGAAAAGAGGGAGAGAAACATTGATCAGGTACCTTCTGCAGGTATCCTGACTGGGGACCGAACCTGCAACTCAGGCATGAGCCCTGACCGGGAATCGAGCCCCTGACCTTTCAGTGTGTAGGATGGTACCCAATCAACTGCGCCACATCAGCCAGGGCTGTTTTCTGCTGTGTACGAGAGACTTACGCTTATGTTTTAGCTCCTCTTGGGCATTTCCACTGAGGGCAGCACCTGTGTCTCGTTCATTCTTATCACCCAGCCAGCACCCCTCAGTGCACTCGACTGTTCGATGAAGGAAGGACAGCAATTCCGCCCTTTCCTTTCGTGTCATCATCTCCTCCTTGTTGCTGGGATTGCTGTCTAGCTCTAGTTCGGATATTTTTTTTTCTTTAACCGTCCTCCTCCACTTCAGGAGCCCAGGGGATCGTGGTACTGCTCCCCTCCACCCCTCGGGCAGCTCC